GTTTTGAACTTTATACAATTTTAGACATAAAAGGGCACTCTTTAAGGCTGGGTAGGACCAATATCCCCAATTTCTCATGTAATGTATAAATGTAAATAACACTCTTGAGGATAGTGCATCAACATCCCAATTTTGTTAGCTTAACCAAAGTTTCAAGACTTTACATGAATGTTATATATGGATGTAAACAGTAAACAGTACTCTTTGCAATATATATTTTCAAAACTTTCCACATCTTGAATAAAATTTCGAATCTCGTAACAACGCGCTAATACACCTGCTAGCATACATTAGACAATACAAAGCGAGGTACAAATATATAACTACACAGATGTAACTTGAGGAATAAAATAAATTTAAAAGTACTATAGTTATAATGACCATGCAATATACAAATGATCAGGTGGAATATTGCCTCTCCTAGGAATTCTTTAAAATTAATTTTGACTGGTCTGTTGTGGGTAATTCAGCTGCTGCGGGATTCATCATTTAAAATCATTGGGAACAACCTTCCATTGAGGGGTCAAGAAGATTGGGTCAGAACACAATAACTTCGGCGAAGGCTTTACCTGCTCGGGATGCCTTAATGCTCACCAAGGCTCGGGGCCTCAAAAAGATTTTTATCGAAAGAGATTTGAAGATTGTCATTGAAGCTATTACTGGGAAGTGCACCATCCCTTAGCGTATTTATGCTGTGGTCGAAGGCATCAAATGGCTTACTCCTTCGTTTGACTATATTAGCTGGAAGCACATCCTTAGGAAAGCAAATTTTGTGGTTAATGTCATCACGTCTACTGAGTATAGTTGTAATAATTTAAGTCATCTCCAACTGAAGGCTGGTTAGATGACTCATTTTAGCCAACTGGCTCTCCAAGAAATTAATATTTTAATGAACAATGCAGGGTTATATTTCTTACCATCTCCAACCGAGGGTTAAAGGGCCATAAAGCTCGTTTTAACCCTGTCACAAAAAATCGTCTTCAACCGAGGGTCAAAGGATCATAGGGCCAAACATAATTTATTATTTAAATTTAAAAACTACAACAACCTAAATTTAAAAACTACAACAATTTAAATTTAATATCTAAAATCATCATTATCTTCATCATCCGCCATTTTAGGAGTATAGTCGAAGGTAAACAACTGATGCCGGGTCATAATTTCTGTTCTTTTTTTTCCTATCAAAATAGGCCTTACTCATTGGAGCGTAATTTGAAGTGTTCTTTTCCATATTCTTATCATTCATCTCTTCTTGTATTTGTTTGGCCCATTCTTCATGCCTACGATTCCTTTCTTCCGTAGCAAAGGCATTTTGCTCCACCATTGATCACAATGAGGCCACCATTTCTTGTTGAGCGGTGTAATCATCCGTTGCCTTGCCCTTTTCTTTCAGCCTTCGGGCATTGTTTCGTCCCATAACCCTAGGTATGAAATCTTCACTTGAAGATGGATTTTCTACCCTTGTTTGTTGAATGGTAAGAGATCCATCTTCATCCATATCTACAGCTGAGGATGCAGCTTCGAACATCAGCGTAAGACCTACTCTATGTTGAGGTGGATCTTCAAATAACACCCACCATTTACAAATTTTCCAACAACTGTGAAACTGAAAGGGTTTCGAGCTGCCCTCCACATACAATTCCTCCGCTCGGCATACCTAAAAAATATAATTACAAAAATTAAAGGAAATTAAAGGTAATATAATTAAATATAATTACAAAAATCAAAGGAAATTAATTTATGAAATTAAATGTAATATAATTAAATATTTAAAATAAATTGTGAAAATACTTACTTCGTCGTAGTAATTAGTGCCGCTTTCATGTCTACTTGCGGCTACTAACAGTGCTTGATGCTATTTGTTCAAATTTGGCTAAAGTTGTTTCTTTCATCTTGAAGAACAACTCTCGTGGTTTTGGGTATTCGGTGGAGTGGTGCCTTCGTAGAACTCTAAGTATTTTTTAGACACACGAGTCCAAACACCTTCACTTGTTTGAGAACTCCCCCTCACATTATCTTCTGACACCCATCTATAAGCCCTACAAAGAGTTTCATCTTCTTTTCGGGTCCAAGTCCTACCTTTCATTGCAAATGAGGCCATTTGAAAATTATTAGAAATATTGAAGGAAATATTATTAAAAGAGGTAAGAAAATATGAGAATTGAAATGGTGTAGGAATGGTGAAAATTTTGTGAGGAATGGTGTAAGAATAGCTTAGATATTTATAGGAAAAAATGAGAATTTTTTAACAATATTTGGCCCAAAAAAAAAAAAAAAAATCAAAAGCAACAGTAACTGACGTTAGCTAGTCGTTGGGGTTTGAATGGGAGCTCGGCCCGAGGCCGACTGGATGTTTTGGGTCGGCCAGTTGGCCATTTGGCCCTTTTTTGTCCAGTGGAGCCCACGAGCCCTTTGCCCTAGCCCTCGGTTAGAAACGGTTTTCGGGTTATTTTCGACCCTTTGGCCCTCTGGACCCTTCGGTTGGAGATGACGTTACATGTTTGGGATGGTTGTATTCTTCTCAAGTTGTCAATGTGTTGTTGTATGATTTTAGGGGTGCATTTGTTTGCACTCGTTAACTTTCACTGGACTAGACTAGATTAAAGATTAGTCCAATACCGTGTTTGTTACTCACACGGATTACTTTAATGGTACTAGCCGGGATACGCCTCGACTAAGGACCTCGCTAGCAGGTCTAAGCGAGACCCTCGCAAAACCACAGGATTGCTAAGACGCGTCCGTTCTTGCACTTCGCTTCCTCTCTCTCCCCCTTGCTATATCTCTTTGCACCGATAACCCAGACTCGGATCGATGTCGGCCCCACCCACTCTTCTTCGCCGAGGTGACAGAATGCTTCCTGGGTGTGTTAGCACCAAGCCCTAGCAAGGCTCAAACCTAAACCTGCTTGCAAGATCAGAAAGGGCGGGAGAAGTCGAAGAGAACTCTGAACAGAATTGGTTTTGTAAATTGTATATATGCCTTACTCAAAGAAACACAAATGGTTATATAGTAACCCAGTACAACAGAAAACCTGTAAACAAACTCCCTTACAACTACAAATAGGAAAATGACCCCCAAATCTATCTCACTTATTACATTTTGGTCCCTTCTTAGTAATTGTGATCGAAGACATTCCAGATCATAACAGGGTGGTGAATCAGTTAGAAAAGGGAAAGTTTATTTGATTATCGTGATCCGCTGAGGGCTGGGGTCGACAAGACGACCCGAAGGCTGGGTTCAAAGGCTGAGTTCAAAGATGGCGGCCCAAAGGCTGGGGTCGAGCACGGCTGCCCGAAGACGAAGATGGATTTGTGGCGCAATTCAATTTATGGGCTTACATTTCAGAGCCTTAGATGGTGATGGACAAAAGGATTGCAATGCAATTTTTTCCCCCAATTTTTTTTTTTTTTTTGTTGAATTTGTGAGAAATTTATTATTATGTTTTAATTCCGCGAAATTGTTTGGTTTTGGTTTGAATTGGGTGTTGGCATAGAAAAGTGGATTTAGTTAATTTCAATTTTCCTTCTGTAATTTGAGATTTGATTGTAGGTTCAAGTTGGTTAGTTTACGATGGATTTAGATTCTCTCTTGAGTTCAGAAATCTAAGTTCACGAGAAGATCCAAATCTCGTAGTATCAAATTCTTTTGTTGTGATAATTCAAATAGGGTTTACTTTTCATTGATTTTCATTATCCTGCTTTTTAGTCCGATATTGCACCAAACGCTTCACTAAATTAGTCTAATTTAGTCTATTCTAAGCCAGACCAGTTTATTCCTTAAAATTAGTCTAGTTCGAGATAGTCCGATACAACAAACACATCTTAGATGTCTTGAGTGTTCCTGGAGTTTCTTCCTCTCTTAATTAATCGTTTGATTCCCAAAACCCACCCCAAAAAAAAAATTAAATAAATAAAAGCCAATATACTAATGCACAGTGGGTACGTACAAGCTAGGGTCTAGCCAAAAACCATGGAAGAAAGCACGTTCTTGTCTCATGATAGATAAATTATGTACTTAAATTATAGTTTGTAGATTATGACGGATTGATGGTTGAATAATTTTTTTAATGATTTAAAGAAAGAATTCAATCATTAACTGCTACATGTCTACAAAATATAATCTAAAAATATGATGTCTTAGCTTTTTTTAAGCAAGCACTTAACAAACGTATAATGTGGTTTTCGAAATGTCAAAAACCCTCTTTTTAAAACCTTAAAATAATCTTTTCTTTCCGAAGTCTCGCGAGTCACACATGTGTTTTTGGTATATGCCAATGAGCCGAATATACATGTAACATAGGGAATCTAACTGTTGACTTTATATTACAAATGTGAATCTGCAATTTCTGCTTAAAGGTCCTGTTATGATAACGAAACTCATTAATCATTGAGCAAAAGATGGTTTCAGAGACGAAGGTTCAAGTTCTCAACATGGAAACAATTAAAACAGAGTGTCTCTCCTGTTATTGGGATGTACCATATTTAATTAAAGGGTAATACTATTTACAAACTTATTTTTATTTTTTTATACCCCTTTCAATTTAGATTAAATGCATTGAATAATATCAATGATAAAAATTTAAAAAAAAATATAAAAATAAAAATAAGTATATAAATAACAATATCCGAATTAAATGCATGCCTAATCATCTAAAAGAAATGAACTGCAAAAGATGCGGCAGATCTAATTGCATATTTCTTTTAGATGCACCTTCCGCAAGTGGCATATATAAAAGGTGAGGCAGATCTAATGGCATATTTCTTTTATGGCATATATAAAAGGTGAGGTAGATCCAAAGTCTAAAATATCGATGATATCGGAAATATCGGTAGTCTAAAAACACAGAAATTTTGATGAAAATATCGATATCCATAAAAATTGAATAAAAACCACAAAAATTGTAAGAAAAACTTGGAAATTTTTATTGAAACTTTGCAGAATGTTTATTTAGTCAATTATCTATTAGTTTATCAAGGGCTCGATCAAGGGCTGGGCCGGCTGGCTTACAGGCTGTTGGCCTATTTTTTGTGCAAGGCAACCTTCACATACAGCCACTATAAATGGAGCACGCGACACTGCATGTTTGCATATCCATCAGTTATATTTCCACAAGCTAGTTATATATAGTAACAGATTACCAAAGTTTAGGGTATAATTATTTAGTGAAATGGGTTGCCCAGCACCTCCCAAGCTTCCTACTATCAACTTCTCTGCCGAAGACATGAAGCCCGGATCCAGTTCTTGGTTGTCCACCGCCAAACAAGTCCGCTCTGCACTCGAAGAGTACAGCTCTTTCGTCGTACAGTACGATCAAATTTCTCCAGAACTTCAGAACAGCATCTTCGGCCAGGCCGCAGATCTGTTTGAGGTTCCCTTGGAAAACAAGGTAAAGAACGTTGGCGAGCAACCATATCATGGGTACGTGGGTCCACACCCCGGCATTCCACTCTTCGAAAGCTTGTGCATCGATAATGTGACATCACCCCAGGCAACTCTCGAGTTCAAGAATCTGATGTGGCCTGCTGGAAAGAAAAACTTCAGGTAAGTTGGTAAATTCAAATTTTTACGTATCATTTATACGTGGTTTATTAGATGCATGGTTATTTGTTGTTTACACAAACTTTTTCTTGTTGTTTTGGTGCAGTGAAACCACAGATTCCTTTGGCCAGTTATTAGCTGATTTGGAACGAACAGTGGGACAAATGATATTCGATAGCTTTGGGGTAGGAAACGAATACGAGTCTGTTGCTTGTTGCAACAGTCACCTCTTTAGATTCATCAAATATAAGGTGCCGGAGGACACTAAGACTGCGTTAAGGTTTCCAATGCATACAGACAGTAATCTCACAACCATAGTTGTTCAGCATGATGTTGGTGGGTTGGAGGTTAAAACAAAGGAAGGTGATTGGATTAATATCGAGTCAGTACCCTCGCATTTCTTGTTCATGGCAGCCGATGGATTGCAGGTGAGTACAAACGTTAAATGCGGTGGTTCCACCCTTTACGAATAATGGATCTTCACATATACAAAAAAGAAAGCTCATTGTAGCACAATATAATAACAAAGACAGAGACTATTAATGATGATGTGAGTAGTAAATTACTAAACATAATTTATTTGATTTGAATTTAGGTGTGGAGCAACGACAGAATAAAAGCTTGCCAGCACCGAGTGAAACATCGCGAAAACAGGACGAGATACTCACTCGGTCTGTTTACATTCAACAACGGAGTCATACAAGTACCGAAAGAACTAGTGAATGATGAGCACCCGCTGCTCTATAATCCATGCGACAGTCGTGGCTATACACGATTTCATGCTTCAGCAGAGTCCAAGAAGGCAGCTTCTCCTATCAAAGCTTATTGCGGCGTCAAAGTTGAAAACTAGAATTTATGGTTGTCACCGAGAAAAAAAATCGTGTAACAAATAACTTGCCCTATGCGCTATATATGCGCATTCTACAAATTTTTATTTTAGTTTTGATTTGTTGATTTTGATACTAATGAAAGAGAGATTTTTTCTTTTGATGTTGGGAAGTTACGAAGGAAGAAGTAACTGTCCACACCAACGTCATCAGTTTGTTCTCATGCAAAAAGATGACGTTGGGAGGTTAAGAAGGAAGAAGGAACTGTCCTCGCCAACGTCATCTTCGCATGAGAAGATACTCCTTTGGTAGGCTTTTGTTCATCCTTTTGAAAAGTGGCAGGAAAATGGACCAGACAGGTGAATATTGAACCAAACGCAAGAGAAACCCTTCCACTAGATTAGAGAGGAGAATATTTAAACCAATACCTCTGCAAGTGGAAGACTTACATGAAACAGATTCACCGTCATTGTAGAGTTACAGTTCAATACCTACAATATCATGTGTAAGTTTCTTTTCAAATAGCATTGCCCCACAGGTGAATGAAACCATGTTTCATGCAAGTTGCTCTCAACTGACAACACACTTTTTTGTGCCGGTGCTCCAATGGCAAGAGGCATCAGTAAGTACGAATCCCTATTTGAAACCGTAGCACAAAGCATTTGATTATGGAATCAAAACATAATCCTAGCTAATCATTCATCACTATCGTCACTGTCATATTGGCACAATGATTGTAAAACATTGGTTGTAGCTTTGGTTTTACTCTTATCTGGTTTTGTCGAATTTTGAACCTCCTCTCCCGATTGTTTCTTCTTGTCTTCTGCTTCCGCTGACTTTTTACCTTCAGCCGCAACCGGTTTCTTAACTACAGCAACCCTAACAGTCGAGGACTTAAAAGGGAATTTAGCAGCTTCTGAGCCATTTCGATTCCCTGTCAATAGAAAAATAACAAAAAAGCTCAATAATGTCAAATGAAGAGAATCCAGAAAGAAACAAATGATTGATTCAGGGGCAAGAACAATCTGCATGTGTTGTTTGAACTACCTCTATCAGAAATACTGCTGTTTGTCAACCAATCTGTTGAATTGTCAGGAAGCCCGTGAGTAAGCTTTTTCCGCTGCATGGAAAATATGTGCAAACAAACATTATAAGCTTACCATTGTCAGTTACACGACATGCAGATCATAGTTGCAACATAAAACGTGTTGATTGTTATTTAAGCAAGTTGAGGGTCTGTAGTCCACACAACAAGGAATTTATTCATTTCCCTCCACAGGATGCCAGACATTTAGAAACCAGAACCGATTTTCAATTGCAAATGCAGACACTACAAAAAATTTCCCCTAGACACAATTGCAGAATAGCACAGGGTTGGAAAGAGAGGAGTGGATGGATGAAGCATAAAGCTGAGTTATCTTGATTATCGTATTTGCAAGAATCATCATGCAATTTCTAGATGAGTATATAAGAACACAGGATAAACACCAATAACAAAAACCACACACTTGTTATACACCATACCAGGATGAGGATAAAAAACCAAATAAAGTAGAGCTGGATCTAGAACCAAAAGTCCAACACACTGTATGTATTCTTTGATAAGATGCTAACACGTATATATCAAACAACTAACATGGCGTACCTTCACTGAGGTTTCACCGTTGCCACTTAAAGGCTCAATCATATCTTCTTCATCATCTAAATCTTCATCGTGAATTCTTTTGATATAATCTTTTGAGTTCTGCATGAATTTGTTCAGTTGTATTAGAAACAAACAGCCAACAAGAAAGAAAAGTACAAATAAAAGCAAAAAAATGATCAAGGAGAATTAAGTTGGACATAAAACAAAGTAGTGCGTGAATACTAACATGGAATACTATTGATTTTATGACTGCTTCATCCTCCTCTTCAATCCTTTTTTCCTGTGAAAAACATGAATCTTTGGTAAACTCACTAATAATAAAACTGAGACTGCACAAGTAGCAGAGCAAGTTCAAGATAGAAATGAATGCACAAACAAGTACCATTTTGTTTGAAAGTACAAGTATATGTAAATAATAAAACTCTTCAATCCTTTACATTCACCTTCCAAGGTAATGTATCACATTTCAATAAATTAAACACATCAGCTTTTTGGTTTACCCATGGTTCAGGACATGAAGATAATTTGACTCACTTCCAACACATTAAATAAGTTGGCACAAGAAGCCTATCCAATTTCTTTGGTTATATAATTATTGTAGCCTGAATTACTTGATGTTATAACAAATTCATGGAAACCACAACATCAAAGCTGCAAGTATTGCACACTTAAGGAACCATGCTCCTATATGTGAAGCATTACAACAACTAAACAAATCCACAAGCGTATGACACACAACATATGACACTGGACAGGGAGCAATACCATATATACATGCATGTGTATTTATTGGTTTAAAGTTTAAATTGGCCTAGATATGAACCGCTTATAAAACGTACCTTTTGCGCGGATGTTTGTTTCAAAGCCTCCAACATAGCATCCACACTCACAGTCGCATGCCTGGACTGAAAACCATAAACCTTGTATTAGTATCAGAGGATATTGACATGCAGCCGACTCAAGGGAATTGAAGAAATGCATAACATATTATTCATATACGTACTGACAGAAACAGAAAAGTCGAGCATTACAATTTAATGGCAGAACTGCATGGTTACATCATGCCCATACATCAATCAAATTACAAAAGAATAAAATTTGACGACTTATCACTAGACAAACAACTACTGAGACATCTACCTTCATGGACTTCATCTCATCCAAGGCAGCCATGACGTCCATCTCTCTTTTTGAATCCTGTGTTCTATTCTCCAAGGCTCTCATGGCATCTCCCATTTCTTCGGACTCCCTTTTCTGTTTCTCCTTATCTACTTCCTGAAAAGAAAAAACAAATATACAAATCAACCGGTTAAGCAAAGTTCATCACAGCATAAGAGAACCTGAAAACATGAAAGAACACGGTAAGTGGAAAGTCGTCATTTTTGTTTCTGTTTTACCTCATCTTCATTGCGCCAGGGTTCAAAATTACGTGTCGCACCGGCCTCAACAACATAGTCAGAATTCTGGGGGTCTGTCTTCATCGCGAGCTCGGCAGAGCACTTGGTACATTTGAAGTAAAATCTGAATATTTGAATTCCCAAATACGTCTGCAAATGATAAAACCATCAATAACCCAGTTCACGCAACATAAAGAAAACCCTATTAAACCTATAAAAAAAATTCAATCAAACACCAATTCCTCATTCTCCAAAAATAAAATAAAAAAACCAAGAAATCAAATCAAATCGAATCAGGCTATGCAATTAAAAATCCTAGTGATTAAAGAACGACCCACGAACCTCTCCAACGACATCTTCTTTGCGAGAATTAAACTTGGTGCCTTTGTAGATGTAATTGCCGCAGGTGTTGCAGCGAATGCTCATCGGAAGCATCATCCGCACCTTTATCTGTTGATTCTTTGGCCTCCTGATCCTGGGCAGCTTCGAGGGGTCAAAGTCCGGCGGATAGTACTTGTTAAGAACCTTACGTTCTCCCATCTTTGATGCTCTTCGAAAACCCTAAATCTCCTTGATTCAACTCGATTTGCTTCTCTTCTGATCAAAATTTCACAGGAATAAAGTAGTCAAAATTTATCATTTCCCTAACTTAATCGATATATTTATGTATATATCGGCGAAAGCCGAAACAAAGAAGAATTAATGTGAAATTAGGACGAGAGGAGGGAGTGTGGAAGATGATACCTGTTGAGTGTTGAGTGCGCCAGTCACTTGGGATTGTTAGGGATTTTGGAGGGGAGATAAGAGAAAAGTCAGGGGCGGGATTTGTCCGTGCCGCCAGCCACTCTCAGGGCTTTTCTTCTATTTATAGCATCACGAGTCAAACACGGGACTCGCTTATGGGGGCAAAATGGTCCTGTCGCGTCCTCGATAGCCAAATCTCAAGTCTTGTTTGGCAATTGTTTTTAAATAATTAAAAACATTTTAAAATAAAAGGTTTAAATCAATTTTTAATAAAAAAAATACAAGTTAACTTCAGAAAAAATACTAAAGTGCTTTTAAGTTTTAACCCCACAATGGTGGAACTTATGGCTACTCGGGATGAGATTCTATGGGCTGTGCAGCGGCACTGGCAGCATGTCATTTTGGAGAGTGACGTCCTGCAGGTGGTTCAAGACATCGGTAGCTTGAAGAAGGGCTCCTCACCTACTTATCTCTTGGTTGAGGACATCAAAGAGGGTCATAGAGTCTTTGTTGAATCTAAGGTTTGCCATGTTCGTCGATCCATAAATATTGTGGTGCGCTGTATGGCCAAGTTGGCCTTGTCCTCTGATTTCAATTCTTGTTGGTTTGAGAAACCTCCAGATTCATTGTCGAGATTCTTCTACAAGACTGTATGCCTTCTTGATTTTTGATAAATCACTATCGTTTATTCTCCGAAAAAAAAAAAAAAAATACTAAAGTGCTTTTGAAATTCAATTTTTTTTCTTTTCTGAAAATACTTCCAGTTATTTAAAAGCAATTTTCTAAGCAAGTCTTGAGACGGATCTAGAACTCTTGAACTGGCCTAAAGCTCAATTAAGTACTGCCTTACAGTTGGTGTTGTCTCGGACTACGAAGCTAGACTGTAATTTTAAGAAACCGTCCCAAATATTAAAAAAAACTAATAATTGTAAAAATTAATCGCTACATTTTTCAATTGAGCGTCGGTTTTAATCTCAGATTGGGGTCTCATCTTCAATTTTCAACTCAAATATTTCAACTAGTACAAGAAAACTCATGGATAAAATATATGATACATAATTACTAGAAGCTGTGTAATAATCAAAAAATAAAAATAAAAATAATATGCTTGTATAAAAACTGTCCGGCGGGTAAACTCCTCCGATTCAAAATTGCATCAACTCCGAATGCACGCCCTTGCATTTTCCCGCATTAGGAGATGTACCACTCCGTTCGTGCCCAACTCCATCAACAGCCTGCAGCAGAACCCTGGTTCGCCTGAAACAAGCCGCACATTACGAAAAGACATAACAAAGAGAAAACATAATGATAACAAGATTAAGAGGAGAAACAGAACGGCGCGGCAAATACAAGCATCCTACCGAGCAATAAACTAGTCATCCTCCATAGGCACCTCTGGAATGTCAAACCAATCCTCTTCGAAAGGTTTATTGATCACACCAACTGGAGAAGGTATGTCAAGTCAAGGGGAACACAGAATACTTTCCCTGTTTTAATATGTGCTTGGAACTCAATGCTAATGGCTAAATATTGAAAGATCGCATGCCATTAGCAGCTTACGGTTCACGTTTTCATATGCAATACAGAAAAAGAGAAAAAAAAAATTGACTATTGTTAAACAAATAGTACAAAGCAAAAAGGATATCAATTGACATGAGATCATCCTCTTTCTCACCACGATTGCGGCTATTTTCTAGTTCCCTTCTTATTTCAGGGGTTACCTACAATGAATCGCGGAATACAGATTACATTTTGCCATGGAGTTATAGCGACAAAGTTATAGAAATGAAATGCCTCAGGAGACAATGCTCCTACCAAATAGTGTTTTTGCGTTTCAAGAAGATTTCTGAGATTATCCTTATCCTCCTTTTGCAATTCATTTTTGTACCTGCAAGGGATTACACCAGCTGTATATGAGGAAAAAGACAATCCAATTACACTAAGTATCATCAATATGCAGTCTAATCATCATTCAGGCACATAAGAGATTATTAAAATTTTGCCCACCTTTGCACAAATGTAAGAAGTGACTGGTGCCATATCACAGGCATTACTCTTGTTTCCTCCATAAATCTCATAAAATGTGCAACAAGAGCATCAAGTACGCGATATGGCAAGGCATACTTTTTATCCAAAAGAAGCTTTATAAAATAACTGCAACAATTCATAAACAGCATTGTCAAAACAATGTCGCATGCAAGGACCTTCTCCTTTATAATAACAAGAAGAGTACTTCCAAACTGACCAACCATCAGCTATTTAAATTCATTATAGTGGATAAATGTCACAAAAGGAAACTGATAGAAATTGTGCTTTATACAGGGAGGTTTATTGAATCAGATCTTCTACATTTTTCTACTGCTCGGAACATTAGGCCTCCCCACCATGCATTTCACCATATATATAAATCACTTTGGCTTGAACGTCTTTCAAGTTAACTGATATCTTAAACCTTTTTTTTCAAACTTTCACAGGCACAAATGCACCTATCTTGCAACCGCACACTCTAAGAGAAGATATGTCTTTATTTCTTTCAAACCATTTTGGAAATACTAACTGTTACATGGTTCAATACCTCGTTGTGCCACAGTATTTCATTTCTGCAAGCTTCATTAATGCAACACTGAAAATACAGCAAAAGCATGTATCAGAGATCTACCAGGTAGATTATAAGGACCATGAATAAACAGTATAACTTCCAACATCAGAAACAGAAAATGAAAGAATAACTTGCTAAAGATAAGACAAGCAAAACGGAAAAGTTAACCATAGATTGCTAACTTAAGAAATGAGATATAATCAGGAGATTTGTGCACAACAATTTTAAGTGGTTGTTAAAATTATTTTTTTTTAAAAATGATGCAATTGACTGCTCACAGCATTTCTAAATGTACGAATACATCACAAGCCAACTGCTATAAACTAAACATAGTAGTTAGTTAAAAGTATATTCTAGATAAAAATAATCCAAATAACAGATATAATCAACTTCTATTTCTTTTTAAATCCTTATCAGAATGGCTTCTAAGCCGTCACCCAACAAACTCTTCATCTTCAAGGGTCTATTTGGAAGCCCTCTGTTCTGACAAAGGCAAATTGGTTCATAACTTATGGAAACAATACCAAATCTTGATAAGGCAGCTTACATACCTAGAATGAAGTGGAGGAATGGAGACCTTCTGTATAATGCTCCCAAAAATAACAGCTTCTCTTAGATTACATGTCCCTGACTGTTCAAGAAGAAAGAGAAATAGAGACATGGGGGAAGTGCATTAGAATTAGGAAAACATCCATTCCAAAACCATAAAAACATTTTAGATCCAAGCATCCCATTAATATAATGAAATTGAGGTGAATATCATATCTCAAAAACTTAGTTTGGATACATCCGAATGAACAAGCAAAAAAGGTTAGCATCATAAACCCGTAACTTCAGTATGACAGAGAGAATGAAATCAATTAATGAACTTCCAAAACAAACAAACAACGCTTAAACTTCAAAATACTGCAATTAGATGGAGAAGCATGGCATGTTTACCTCACACAAGGGAAACAGTATTCCTATAAAAAAGGCAGCAGGCTTGTACAAAGACTTCTTCAAAGATTGATATAGTGCAAAATGCAAGCGCTTGTGCTTGCGGATGTCTTCCCTCACCCTTGGGAGCAACACAAGCTTGTAGAAACGTTCTACCTTCTCCTTACCCAAATTGGAAGCAAAAATTCTCGTAGCTTGATACATTGCATTTGGTGACCAATTCTCAGGCTCAGTCAAATATAGGACATCCTCCCATCGTGGCACTGAAGGGATGTGTTTGAATGCCTTGGGAATCTTTCCAGCAGTGTACTTATTAAGAAACTTGCCAACCCTGCACAAACATCGAAAAAATAAGACATCGTCCTCATGGCCTAGCATTACTTGAATAACAGATACGCTAGGATAGCTTGATTACCCCTTATACAAATCTATGACAGAGGTATCCAATTTAGGCAGAGGCCTCACATCTGCAACCGAACAAGTCAAATCAACAAATGAAAATATACTAAAGAAACGACCTTCAGCTTTAGCTAATGAAAGAAGGAACAACAAAATCATATTCCATATCTACCTGAGCCAACATTTGAATCGTTCTCTTTAATTCTTGCGACAATGAGGTCTGCCAGAGTACGCTGCGGACCGGCATCCTTTGACAAGAATTGCTCCAATATTTTCTCATCATGTTCATCAATCTCATGTAATGACTTCTCGCCATGTTCATCACTTTCCTGAAACTCAAATTAAACATTTTTCATTCACAAATGAAATTAATTTCATCCAATTGAAACCTAACAATTAATAAAAATAACAAAACAACACAGTTCAGCATTCATTTTACATTTCCTATGTTTCCTCACAGATTCTCACCATTCAAACAAACTCAAAAATCCAATAAACAAGCAATTAGCGATCAAAACTCACTTCATAACCGTCAAATCGGCTCTGCGTTTCAGAGAATCCACCGAAATCATCGATATCCTCCTCTTCGCCGTCGGCCACATCCTTCCGCGGCTCTTCCGATACATCCAGAAGCGAATTGTTAGGGTTTTGAGCGCGGTTCTCCTCGTCCTCTATCTCCCTCTGCTGAGCCAGAGCCTGTTTGAGGATCTTGGAGCTCATTCCGGACGATATGAGCTTCTCCTCCTGCTGGTGCTGCTTCGACTTGGTCCGCTTCTTGGAGACGACGGAGCCATTTTCTTCGGCGAGGAACGGCTCCGGATTCTGGTGCCTCTCTCTCTGCCTCTTCTTCCCCATTGATGCTGCTGCAGCTGCAGGCGAAGCTTTTTCTGCTATTCAAACTGGAAAGTTAAAACCCCCGCCACCTTGATTTCTTCAGTCTAAAACCCTAACCATAGACAAATTGCGGACCACAAATTAAAAGAAAATATCTAGTGGGCCGGACCATAAAGGGCCGAACAGAGAGGCAAGAGAAATGCGAATGGCCCACCTAATATTCTAACAAGGTGATAGAGGCCCAAGAAGAGCCCAAACTGAACCAAAATCTTAAGATTGCTAGTTTAATTAAATGTTTGTTCTAATTTCTGTCCTATTTTTCTTTTTTATGAAGAGTATTGTTTTCTTTTGTTGGATTATAAAATGATATTTTAAACTATTTTAATTTACAGGATTTAAGGTTTAAATTTCTATTTTTTTGGTCTATATTGAAATCTTAAACTTAAATGAAAAGAGATGACAAGCTGGCCAACCTGATGTAATAATAGTTAAAGCAACTTTAGTGCACGGTGTGAAATTGAAAATGTAAGTAGACCCTTTACATGTACGCGGTATCTTTTGGTGCATTCTACTTTTTAATATTGTCTTCCTCTAATTATTCTCTTATGATTCTTCATTTCTCAAAGTGTGTCAATTTCCCTTCCAAATCCGAATTTAAGCTTTGTTTCGACGGGAAATAGCAAGATAAGGTACTATTCTTGATGAATTTGCTATTGTGGAAAAACAGATAAACAGAAAGGTGTGGTAGAGAACGGGAGCTAATATTAAATTTTGCTTATAAGAACCTGAAAACACCACATATTGTTAGAAATAATAGCGTCAGTTATATCCAGAAAGACACAATATGAAACAAGACCGAAGATACATAGTATACTTTTGTTCTGAAGTCTAAAATTTGCGAAATATCCACATCTTTCAACGCGTGATAAACTGTATATGCGATTTTGATAACATCCCTGGAAGCTGTTCTGAATTCTTTACTCTGCAAATTAGTTTACTGGCATCTAAACTGACTGATCTGCCAAACCAAGATTACAAAAATAACCAGGAGATTTGTAAGTTGCTTTTTCAATTCATAATTTCATATCACAGAAGTATGGCCATGTTTTTATTCAAAACGTGATGTACATAGTTAGCATCGAACGTGTAGAGTGATGGATGGTGGGGGAAGCAAATGCGTTGGTCCAATATGTCCAAGCAACAAGGAAATATGTGGGAAATTGATCGGTGAAACTTTGGTTGCACAAAAGAAACTGTAAATGGTATCATGATATTACCTCATCGACTAAACAACTTTCAACCGGAACCAGAAATCAATCTGAGTTTTTAGAGATAACCTGCAATTTCAGAACCTCTGAAATCAGATTCATAGCCATCTATAGTACAGTACAAGGAAATCAAGACACGACAGGTAGAGGATAAAGAAAAATGTGAGGGTACGTAGTTGATAAGTAAGACTGATGAACATGCACATTATAAGCTTACCTCTAGTATTAATGCTTTGGCATGCTCTTCCCACTCAGTAGCCCACCTCCCAGATGAAGCCATTTCCAATGCACCATTCCTGAGAACCTTCAAGGAATCACATGCATCTGGAAAACCCTTGAACAGCATCTGTACAGGTTATAAGAGATATTATCATGAAGACGGTGCACCAAACAGTAATCCAAAGTTTTGAGTCGTTGAAGTTAAGCAAATTACGTTAATATTGCAGTGGTTAGTCTACCATGCATATTAGTTTCATCTATTAACCACCATGGAATTCACAAAGAGACACCAAAATATATATGATTTGTATTCTTTTTTACTGCATTTCATGCATTTCAAGTTACATGAATTGCATATGAGGTTTGTTACGCAAGTATTAATTGTTACAGTCATTTTCAGTAGCAGTTGAAACATCCCAACAGAGAAACAAGCAAGCTGGCCAACTTACCAAAAGTTCATCCGCTAGTTCTGAAGACGATGAAAACAGAAGGCCGTTTTTCTCAACTTGCACTAGTTCCTTGATGCTTTGAAAAAAGATTACCATAACCAACGACATCAGATTTTAATGTACAGCATCCCCAAACGTCCATATATCATGTCATAATAAGTAAGATTCCTATCGCATAAAGCAAGTAATTAATAAAAACAAGAGTTTACCATGAGTAGGAAACAGCACAAACTGGCAGCCCACAGCCAAACATGTCCACGACCTACTGCCAAAAAATGTACAATAACGTAAAGTGAAAAGCAGTTAGAGAAAATTCATATTGTTGTAGAACTATTCTAGTGCAGTATTCAGTTTACCCCTTACCTTCATGGGAAGATCCAACCCTGATGAGGACGTATGCAAGCATACACCAAGATCCGCTGATCCTGCAAATGTAAATAAATATATAACACTGAATACTTTCGGAAGAGCATATAATGTGCAAGGAACAATGGGGACAAAGCACAAGCAATTGAAAATAAAAGACCTACCAAGAAGCAATGGATAGTCCTCAGCAGACAACCACATAGTACGAAATGCCACGCGTTTGAGGTGTAATCTGCTAATTTTTTCTTCATATTTTTGCTTTTCAGGCCCTTTACCTACACGAATTAAATCAGTATGCAAGCGCGTAAGATGACCCCGCTCTCTCTCTCATAACAGATATGCAAGGCTAAAGGGAACCTGACATCCTAGAACAAAGAAACAGTTATACTCACCAGTAATGACAAACAACAGCCTAGGGTATAAGTATTGCTTCCCACTATGAATATCCTTCCAAAGAACCTCTTCTTTAGTAGAATCCTCTTCATTTAAAATAGCAGCAACACGCCTGTCATACATGACAGCTGCTTCCAAGAGAATTTCAAAATCTTCGTCAGGAGTCCTGTAAAGAACCATTCAAAAAGACTAATAAAGAAGACAAATAAAAATTGAAAAATCAAATGTTTTAAACATGGGGTTTGTCTTTCATGTTACATCAAAGTATTCCACTGAATATTAGCTCACCAGCTTGTACTGCTAACTATGAGTGCCGGCCTGTGTGGCTTCGAAGTAACGTCAGTACCAACCAGAGTGGTAAACAGAGTATCATTTATGTCTGTATTCACTCCCCCTGATCCTGTTAGATATATGTTAACATATTGAAAGAACATTACTAATCAATGAAGGGCAGTCAAGAAGCAAATTAAAAATTTAAAGAAACTGATTATTATTACCCGTGCTAGTGCAATCGTGAACACCAAGTGGCTGCCTTAGATTTTTATCTAATCTGCAGAACAACTGTAGATAACTCACACGTTATACCAAATTCTCCAAACCAAAAAAAAGAATCAAAACAAGCTCAGAATTAGGCATTCAAACACCTTATGCTTTTCTTCAAGTGAAGCAGGTCGGAAAAACTCAGGAGGCTGATCATATAAAACTGTGGCTCTATCAATTTGGAAGACAACAGAAGACAAGTAAATATATATCACTTGATAATAAAGTTTTGTGAAATATTGAGCTGACCCTCTTACTTAATTCCCCAATTTTGAGCCAATTCATGTTGCATTGCCCTCGTTACACATAGGGAACCATCTGCCATCTTCCCGAAATACCTCTCAAACCTAATCAGGAAAGAGAAACTCAATCTACTGCACCACCAAAAATATGCCCTCAAAGAAAAGTCTAAAAAAATTCAATAGCTACCAACGGTATATTGCCACAAATCGACTACTTCTTCCAAGAGACAATGCCAGTAAAGTATATCCAAAATTATGCCAGTCAACAATAAAGGCAGATTTCCTAAGCCAGCTTGCCCATTTTACAGCCATTAAGGTCGGAACAGAGGGTGGATTCTGCACAAGCAAAATGAATCACAGGATTTAGAGAAAGAAAGTTCACATTCAATTCACGTACTCTAAAATCTAAATACAAAATTCAGGAACCAACTGATATTTGCAGCCTAAAATTTGCAAATGGTTGGCACTTGGCAGCTAATTAATCAACTTTGAAAACTTTGTCATAGAAAAACAATTAAACACTGTCTAGTTTATCAAAGGCTTCTGCAACTTCCCAACTGGAGCAACGCAAGCTCACCTGAACTAGAAAAACATCGGGAGCAGGTATCTTAACGCAAAGAAACCAAAGAACCATTAAAGACTGAGTCACTGCCTTGATCAAAAGCACGAAGGGTCTAAGTATGTTGGGCAGGCCACGCGTAAATGTCTGCCACTGCTGCTGCCAACCAGAATCACAAAAACTTTAATCTTGTGGACGACCAAAAAAATTCGATAGTAAGATACTGCGGTAAAAAGAAATTGCACTTCAACAATAACTACCATTTTGTGTATGTGAATGGACTGATGTTCAAGTAGAGCGGAATGGGGTTCGGAACCTGTCCAAACATTCCAACTCAAATCCAAATCAGCATATGAAGTAACATTTAGATTCAAATTTGCTCAACAATGCACCTAATTCTACCATCAAAGCAAAAGATGTACCTCCATATGCAACAATATCTACCTCCAGAGACGCCTGAAACGCACATTCAATAGCAAAAATCACAAAAAAGGTCCAAAATTCTCACGAAAAAGAGCAATTCCGACTTCAAAACACATTTCAAAAGCACAAAATGGAAAATTAAGAATTGGGTTGTTGGTAAATCAGCTGTAGAAGTTCAGGCGGGGGCGCTTACCTGTCGGGCAAGCGAAAGAGCTTGATACTGCATACGGGGGCTCCGCCCAATATCGCCCAGCACCACCACGCACGCCCGCCCTCTCTTCCCTCCTGCAATCAGAAATCCCAAACTCCTCATAAATCTGCAAAGAAACGAGCTTTCGAGAAAAAAGAAAGAACGAAAAAGCTTGCCTTTGCCGGCCATGGTTCTCTGTTCCACTTGGATTCTGATCTCCGACGGAGAGAGTGGTGCCAACTGCCAAAGGTGCAGACTTGCAGTTGAAGTCATGAGGAAGACGAAGGGAGAGAGCGAGAGTTGTGGGATGTCAAGGCGGGCCGGTTAGCTGGGCTTAGTCGACCCAATTCGACCCAATTTGGCACGAGAAATAATAAAATGGGCCTAGCCTAACTGGGTTTTCTTTCTTTTGGATTTGAACCATAAGAATTCACACTCATCCGAGATGCTTACTGACTTGGAGTCACCACCCATCCTCTCAAGCCGCGAGCTTTCGCCATTGTTAGGGTTCTGAATTTGCTTGCTTTGATCAGAACAGTGGAGGTTCCAAGGTATTTTCTTCACATTTATTACATATTTTCATCTGGGTTTTGATAGTCTTGGTGTTTTGTGATTGGATTGTGTGCTTTTTTGTTAAATTGAAATGCTATATGGTGTTAATTGTGGTGCTTTTTTGTTAAATAGAAATGCTATATGCTGTTGATTGTGGTGCAAAATTGTTCAGTTGGGAATTAGAGTTTTCTCTGCTGCTATATAATGTTTAGAAGTTTATTGGATTATGTTGGTGAAGAAATGGATGCGTTATTAGTGTAAAAACTTAGCTTAGCTTAATTTCATGACTTTGGGTCGGAAGGTAGTTGAGGTTCCATTAATTGGCAATTTGGGAAGTATCCAAGTTTTGTAAGCACCTGCAAGGTTTGGTAAACTTCCGACGGCGGGCATTTGTTCACATCCTCACATGGTCTGTCTAGAATCTAGATGAATACTCCATTCTCTTTGACTTGTTCAATTTGATTCTAAAGAAATTCATTGGTTCCATTCACTTTTTCTGGGTCAATCTGATTTGTGCATTTCTTGTGTTTACTCTTCATTTCGTGTGTGTTTTGTGATGAAATCAGGTGAACACAGATATCGCTGACTCCAGCGCTGAACAGTATGGTAACTTGAGGAGAGCCCGTTCCCAGTGATTGCGTCGGGTTCTCTGGCTTTTGAAATTTTTCGAAGTACATTTCCAGACTTTACACTGATCTGTGGTGCTTCTTCCGTTGTGCTAAAATCGGAAAGCAGACTGAATTGTTTATCCACAAAAAGTTCAGGAAATTTAACAGAACCAACCATGCAAACCGCTTCATATCTTCATCCATTCTCTTATTTTTCTGACAGGTATCTAATTTTATGAATGTTCTCATCTCATTGTTTTTGTTTCTGTGTTTTTTTTTTTTTTTTTTGAAGTTTCAATTTAAGTCTTGAAACATATTTCAGAAGAAGCCGTTTAAAACCAGATGGGTGGAGTAAATCACAAACCTCATATTCAAGTGATCTTGTTAGGAGAGTTCTGATTACTAGAAGACCTCAGACGTGTAAGTTTCTCTTGCCTAAGCAACAAACCAGATTGTATGCAATTCCCAACACAGATGATGGCCACCCTTCTGCCTCTGTGTTAGAAGATTCAAATACAAATCATGCACCCAATTCGGAAGTGAAGACAGTGTTGCACAAATGGTCACCTCCCACGTATATGTGGAGGGGGTTTTCAGCTCTTATCCTGGCAGGACAGGTTATTTTGAGAACTTTGAAGGGCAAGGTGCACTGGGGAAATACACTTCAGCAATTAAGGAGAGTTGGGCCAGGTTCAGTCGGGGTCTGTCTCTTGACTTCAACATTTGTTGGCATGGCCTTTACAATCCAATTCGTTAGGGAATTTACTAGATTAGGGTTAAGCAGAGCCGTTGGTGGGGTTTTAGCACTGGCTTTCTCAAGGGAGTTGAGTCCTGTAATTACATCAATCGTGGTTGCTGGGCGTATTGGAAGCTCATTTGCAGCAGAGTTGGGAACAATGCAGGTTTCTGAGCAAACCGACACTCTGAGAGTTCTTGGGGCAGACCCAGTTGATTATCTTGTGACTCCGAGGGTGATTGCTACATGTATTGCTCTTCCGTTTCTGACTCTAATGTGTTTCTCAGTAGGGATGGCATCCAGCGCCCTCCTTTCCGATGGCATTTATGGTGTTAGCATCAACATTATATTGGATTCAGCTTGCAGAGCTCTCAAGCCGTGGGATATAATTAGTGCAATGATCAAGTCACAGGTTTTTGGTGCGATCATATCGATTGTGAGTTGTGCTTGGGGAGTGACCACTATGGGAGGAGCCAAGGGTGTCGGAGAGTCAACAACTTCGGCTGTGGTTATATCTCTTGTTGGGATCTTTATCGCAGATTTTGTACTTTCGTGTTGTTTCTTCCAGGGAGTTGGAGATTCGTTGAAGAGGCTCTAAGTGGTTGTTGATAAGCTAATGGAGAGGCTGAAGCAGGAAACAAATCAAAGTATGTATACTTGGCTGCGTGATGTTTTCGCACAATGGCAGGTCAGCTTGTAGTACTCCTTGATGGTTATTGAGGCATTTCTCTCCCCTCAATAAATCTAGCGAGCGACTATTAACAACCTCAAAGCAGCGAGGCATATAGCGAGCCTGCTGGAGTTGAAATTTTTGTGAATTTTCCGTTAAAATAGCAAAACAGCGTTGTTTAACGAGGCTGTTGGAGATGCTCTTAGCTTTGCCTTTTGATTAACGATATGACAAGTCCCAAATTGTTGCAACTTGTGAATTAATCCAAATATCTAGGGGTGCAAGTGGAATGGAATTTCTGATTCCGCCATTGAAATTTCCAATTTCGACACTAAAGTTATATCACGAAAATTTCTTTTTGTGACATTTACGACCTGGCTAAACTAACCTTTGCACAAAAACACCACATTCCAGCAAGGCTTAACGATTTCCCGTGAGTTGCATGTGACAACTATTATTTTGTGTCACCTTACTACCTTAACGTTTTTTTCAAGCCAGATTGCTACCTGAATTTGTTTTTGCATAAAAAATTACCTGATAAATCGTATCTAAGATTGTTTTGGTCAAAACTAAAAGAATCGACAATGAGGGTTTCGAAAATTATTCCCCAAAACTTGAATGTCGTTTAGGGGTAAATTGGCACAAAAACAGATTCAGGTGGTAAAATCACACAATATAGTGGTTGCGTGACTATTTTTAACGAAAATTTCTACAATCTGGACACTATGTGGTATATCAGAATCATTTAACTGCAGCAAAGGAGATTATGTCGTAATAGTTATATGACGATCGATATTTCCGTTTTATGGAAAAAAATATACAGTAAAAGGCAGCAGCAGTAGCCATGGAAATATTATCTCACCATCCAGTAATCAGTATCATTACAGAAAACGCAGAAATAACAAGGAATCCAAGAACAAAGGAAGGCTGTGGAACCGATCGCATCAACTCTCAGCTTGTAAAGGTTTATCCACCGCTATTCATTTGAATGTTTCTATAACCTCGGCTGATGGCGAGGGCGAGGAACGTCCCAGTCAGTCACAATGTGATCGCGGGTGATCTCTCTGAGCGAACGGCATCCACTTAATGCCATGGTTAGCTCAAACTCTTCGCGCAGCATTTGGAGCACCTTTCTAATGCCAGCCTCTCCTTCAGCAGCGAGAGAGAACACCACAGGGCGCCCAATCTGCGAGAGAAGCAAGTCTCAGTATGTTTTGATCGACAGTATAATCTTTTCGTGGAGGGGGTGGGTGAGTATTATATGGATAGAATAAGTGCTTCTATATGGAAAAATCATGATCAAAACTTGACTTACAAATATGCCAGAGGCACCCAATGCTAATGCTTTGAAGACATCTGTTCCACGACGAACACCACCATCCAAGAAAACAGGAATGCGTCCTTGTGCAGCTTTAACAACCTAGGTGTCAAAACAGCGCCGCCATGTCAAAACATTTTGAAAACTAGGATGGTATAGGTGCATGTTTACTTAACATTTAGGAGATGCACTACAAACAGCTAAAATCAAGTTTCTGTACCTCCTCTAGGGCCATGATAGTCGAAGGGACGTAATCAAGTTGGCGAGCTCCATGGTTGGACACAATAATCCCAGCTGCTCCAGCTTGTACTGCAATCCTTGCTGCATGATATGAGCGTAGAAGAGTTATACAAGCATTACAAACCTATCACAACGACGGAGAGAAAAGGAGCTCAAATACATACCATCTTCAGCAGTGAGAACACCCTTAACTAGGATAGGCAGCGAAGTGATTGTCTGAAGCCACTGCACATCCTGTTGAAATACCAGGGCAGATCATTAGAGGCATATCAACTTTTTATTCAAAAATAAGGCATACATGCTGAGAAAACATCGCTTCCTCACAAACATCCAGCTGGATATTCCCAGCCAAAACACCTTCATTATTTTAAATTTGCATACTTTTCATCAAAGGATGGAAGAACCTACATTTGTACTTTTTGATTCGTTCCATTGAATGATCTAGAAATATTACACTTTTGTTGATATTCCATCCTTTTATTTTGTAGGACTCTTTTTAAACTTAAATGATGATGGCTAAATAACTTATGACACCAAGTTGTAAATTTTCCACATTATGAGCTTTGCTTAGAAGTTCATGTATCTCGACATTTGATCTTATCTGACATACCTTCCAGCTAAGAGAACGATCGATTTGACCAGCAACGTACGAAGCAAGTCCAGAGTCAGCAGCCTGAAAGACCCCCACACCGCAAATTAAACATAAAAGACATTATTCTTAAAATTAGGACAGCACAGTTTCTACTCACTTCGTCCATCTTTCCGAGGTTCAAACCCTCAAAGTTCTTCAGTGTCAAAAACGGAGGCAAAGTAAATCTGAAAGATACCAAATAAAAGGTATTAACAAGATTAAACTTTTCCACATGTTAAGCTTACATCAAATGCCGAACTGAATTAGTCTTACTGAACCGATAAAAGTAAAAACACGCACATGCACACGCACATATACAAATCTTCACCAAATTTATCTATCTTACTAGGTTGATATGAATGTTTTGACCAGCTGATATTGCTATAACAGTTATAGACATGAAGTTGACCTGTTCTTGATGTCAGCTTCTCTGCGACCGAGCCTTGGGGTATCAACTGTAAGAGCAATAGCCTTGAACCCAGCCCTTTCAGCTCTTCTCACCAGCTGAGCAACCACATTCCTGTCCTTGTAGACCTTATAATAATGACCAGAAAAACATGGATCGCGTAAGGCAAGAAAACATTTACTCAAAAGTCATAACTCAAGAACAGGGACACTTGGGTGTCGTAACTAACGAATAGAAATGAAATTAGTATTTAAGCTTACATAGAGCTGGAAGAAACGGATTCCAGGTCCAGTTGAAGCAACCTCTTCAACACTTGAAGTAGCCCATGAAGATAAGGTCTGAAACAATCAACACGGGGTAGAAGTAAAGAACATAGACAGAACTTGTAATATAAGAGCAAACCAACAAGTAAAAATCCCATAAATAAAATGAGTGTAGGTCAGCTATTGAAGACAATTGATCAAGGTCAACAACGGTACCATAATTGTTCCTGCTGATGATGCTGCCCTCGCAGTAGCATATTCACCTGCAAGAATTCGCATGTCATCGTCAGATGGATACCATGGCTTCCTTGAAGAGTATTAGGTATGACACTGGATGCCATTTTACAATGGATCGAAAATCCGATGGTTGTTCGCAGTTTGTACAATTTTCTCACTGTTTTCTCAAAAAAATTTACACAGATTAAAAGTGTTCTCAAGCTCAGCACACTGTATTGGGGCTATCCATGTTGTAAGTATATTAATCATGCAACCCCACGGTGATTTATATGATCAAGGTAAATCTTATGTTGTCAACAACTTACATGGGGTAAAGATGATATTAATACACATGATACAGTACAATTCTAAACGCAATATCCAAATATCAGCGCAAGAGCAAGGAGAGATGGCTCATCATTCACCAGTTACGCTATGTTTTTCCCAAATGAAAAACTACTCAATCTTAATAAGGTGAATCAATAGCATACCTTCAGGATGGGCCATTTTCTGCATGGCTGTTGGGGCAATCATGATGGGCATTGAGATCTTGAAGCCCAAAACAGTGGTGGTCATGTCTATGCGGCTCACATCAATGAGAATACGGGGTCGAAACCTATGTTTGATGACAATATGTTTGTGTCATGAGAACTCCCAAACTGATACTTTATGCAGAAAAAAGGGCACTGCTAGATAAATACTATCGAGTACTACTTTATAGTTTTTACTGAGTATCTCAAGGTAAAGATTGAATTCTCACAGAATTCTTGCGAAAGCATTTCTGTTTTCAGCAAGAGTCCACTGGTCCTCTGCTCCTGATGCATAGTAGTCATAGACCATCTTTGGCAACTTCTCCTTTGCGATGGCCTCATACTCGCTGACGTTGGTAATCTCCATTTTTCAAGTTGACTGTCGACGCTTCCCTGAAAAATATGTATTTAACATCAACATCATGCTAATGAGATCATATTGTGCATGCGGACACAGCTTGTTCTTCCCCTTTTCTCTTTTTCCAGGAAATTGGAAACAAGAAAGTACTCAAATATCAGAGGAAGTTAAGACACACAAATTTGCATTAAGAAACAGCTCTTGCACTCGCGCTCGCGCTCGCACACACACATAAGACACTAAACTGAATCAAAATCATTGATCATATGTACTCAGGTAGTCAATAAAAGATAGGTTATGTCCCCATGTCAGCTAAAAATGTGGAAAAGTAAATCCTTTGATATTCAATATGATCATGCATTAATGATCAAAACTAAACTACTTTCTTGCTTAAGATAGATACTAGATTAAGAAGAATAATATTGGGATTACGAAGAATAAAAGTGGTATATATTAAAAGACTGAATCCACTGCAAACTACTGCGTCTCGAGTTTAAACCCTTCCCTCATCTTAAGTGTAACTTATAGTAGTAGTAACGCTCGTAATAAAATAAAAGACTAAACCCAATTCACTGGTAAGGAAAATACAACCAGGGCATGCTCAACTCCCCACCTTAATTGGTTCCAAAAGCGTAAAAAGCCATTACGAAGTGAGATTGCAAAACCCATTTAAAAAATTGCACCAAGTTACAATCTTTCCGTTTTGTGGGCAACAAGTTATGATCTTTCCAAGCAGTTTGAGAATACTAGCAAAAGAAAGAACACAGAATTGAAGAGGAGAGAGAAGCAGACCTGAAGTTTGAGTCCAAGACTACGCAACAAAGTGCATCAAGAGGAAGCAGTGCAAAATAGATATAGAACAGATAAACAAAGAGATTATTAGTGTGAGGTTACATGCAGACAAACTGGGTGGGGCTCATATATTCTTGAGAGAGAGAGAGAGAGAGAGAGAGAGAGAGAGAGAGAGAGAGAGAGGGAATGGATGAGCATTTGGAGGTGGGAATTTGAAACCAAATCGGATGAGGGGAAGAGAGAGGCTGTCATCCACAGAACCCTTGTGTTCACAGTTCTCCTGTTGCATTATGATTTTCTGAACCCCAAAAAATGAAATTTGGATAATAAGGATTTGTCCTTTTAATTGAAAAATACACAATTTAAGGACAAGTGACAAATTGCCTTCCTTTTTTTCTTTCTTCTGTGTTGTCATGCTTGATGTTTGACGTCTACTTCCAGCCAAAGATGATTGGTTACTGGTTGAGTCTGAGAGGACTGGAATGCAACTGCAGTCGGGTCGTCTTTTAATTGGGTATGGGCGGAGAACCTGAGGTCCAGCACAAAGTATGATTGAACTTGAGAAGTAATATGGGCCTAGCAACCCACCTCATCCCCTCTCAAGGCTTCGTTAAATTTCACACTTTCAAGTTAAGTTTTTATTTGTAAGTTAAAAGTTTTAAAGTTAAGTTTTTGGGTAAATTATATTTTACTCCTTTAGGTTTGAGGTTGATTTCAATTCTTTACAACATCTTTAAAATATTTCAATTTCATACATTTACTTATCATTTTATTTCAATTTCATACATCAGTTAGAAAATCTGTTAAGTAAACTATTAAGTGATGACATGGCAAATATTGGGTCTCCATTTGTGTTGACGTGGCTGCCACATTTATGTCATGTGGCTAAAAACTTAATAAAAATTTTAAAATAATTATTTAAAGAAAAGTTAATATAAAAATTTAGAAAAAAATTTAAAAATAAAAAAAAGGTAAAATGAGATAGAGTTAATAACAACAAACGATTGTAATTTTCGACAAAAAGAAAAGTAAAATGATTGTAATAAATGATTTTAATTCCTATTAGTCTTAGTGAGTATATATTAAAACCATTGATTGACAATGTGGTAGGGAAACTTATCGTTACCGTGAAAAGTTGTCATTTGGCACTATTTTTCAAATTTGAAAGTCAATACCATTTCCAACATTTGTGGATTTAGCACTGCACCGTCAAGGGCTCAAAGCTGCTTTCTTTGCGCTCCAAAACACGCAGAAAACTGCAATCCCTTGTATGTTTTGTTATTTTTCACTTGGTTTTATGGACTTTTGCTTCAATCATAGCGTCAGTGGTGCGTGCTCACCAGGTGTTTGTAGAAATGCCCAACAGAAGTATAAAGACATAGAGAAAGAGTGTGTCTGCTGTTTGGTTTTACGCTATTACTGTTGTTATGTATTATCTACTTCTTCTTCTTACTATAACAAGCATTGATCTGCAGTTTGCCACTCTGTTATTGGAATCTGCTCCACACTTTGCCTCTATGGGGTGCAGTAACAGCTTGGGGATTCATTCTTTGTCTATCTTAGCGCCTCAGCGGGTAATTCTTCAGCAAAAATCCATACCAAAGTCCCATTCTTTGTCCCCAACTGTCACCGTTTCTAGCCTTGCCACTAACAAGACCTGCTCTGAGAGGTACCCAATACCAAGAGGTTGCTTGGGATTCACTGCATTCACCAGAAAGGTAAATAAGACCATAAGAGGATGTGCTGCCAGCCCATTTGTTGTTGCCAATGATGAAAAGTATGGAAACAAGCAGATTATCAGTATTACCCCACGCCTTTACGACTACATCCTTGCCAATGTTCGAGAGCCAGAGGTATAAATGAACCCAATTTCGATTTCATTTCACTTTATTCAGCACCTTAGTATTTTTTATTTTTTTTAGCTCTTTTACATCTGCATTTTCTGTACGGGTTATCTTGATCAAGATTGCATTTCAGGTTCTACAACAACTTAGGGAGGAGACTGCCTCTATGCGTGGTAGTCAGATGCAGGTACTTGCTACTGTTACTCATTCCTTTTTATGTAACATGGACATTGATAAGATATAGGTGAAGGAAAATGCTGGTTTTCAAGGTAGCTAGCCAGGACCCTCTTGAAAACAATTGAAACTTTTAATTGACAACCAAAGTTAACTGCCTTCGACTGTCTGATGTCTTCATACTTCTTTACATTGCAACAAAATTTGACAGTGTGGTGCTCTCTGGATAGGTGTCTCCTGATCAGGCTCAACTGCTTGCAATGCTTGTGCAGATTCATGGGGCTGAAAAGTGTATTGAAGTTGGCGTTTATACCGTATGTATCCCTTCTCATTCTAACTTAACTGTATTGCTTTCTAATCGCACATTCCCTTTTGGGTATATTATAGTAATTTATACCAATGTCTCCTGAGGCAAGTGTCTCACTTTGGTCTTCGACATTCAATTTGACTCCCTTTGCCCCTTGAACTTCATTCGATGTACTAAAGTGGCCCTTTCCTTTGGATCTTTTATACTTTTGATAAATATTGGTCATACACCAATCACATTACTATTTTTTCAAAGATATAATCATCAGTTGAACTTGAAACCCAATATATTCACTGAAAGACACAAAGTCAAAAAAGTATAAAAAGCAGATGCGTTTGGTGAAATGTAATTAACATAGACATTCCTTGACTACTCCCTCTGTTTCCCTCATTTTCTTCTCTTTTCCTGTTTCGTAGTCTTTGTTACTGGGAGAGCAAGAAGAGACAAGAATAGCTCTCATGTTCATGTGATGAACTAGCCACATCTGATATAATGGTTACTGTTTAATTCAGGGATATTCATCATTGGCTATTGCACTGGCTCTTCCAGAATGTGGTAGGTTAGTAGCCTGCGAAAGAGATTACAGAAGTCTCGAGGTAGCAAAAAAGTATTATGATCAAGCCAACATTTCCCACAAGGTAGTATGTCTTCCACTCACCAGTATTGTCAATGAACTGTATAGGAATATAACCCCACAATTATGTCGAACTGTTTTTCCTTATACTTCATTTGACACAACACTGAAAAGGCTAATTTGGCATTAGGTGCATGTTAAATATGGACTTGCAGCAGATTCCTTGAGATCATTGATTCTGAATGGTGAAGCATGTAGGTAATGTAATGAGCAATGTTGAGAAGCACGATGCATATAATTGTGTCTTCTGAGCGTTTTGAAGAAAGTTTGTGGTTCTGATTTGGTGAAATTTTTGGAGAAGAATTAAATAATAATTCTCTTCTTGTCGTCATGCTGTTGCATTTCATATTGTTCTTCTTGAATTACTGGCTCGACGTGTTTCCTCTTTGAATCCCCAGATGTAACCTTTGTTTTTTTTTTTTGTTATCCCTTCAATGTTTTTTGTTTACTCTCTTTCTTTGAAAAAATGAGCTTAATGCATCAATCATTTTAGCTCACTTTTAGTCATAAGGCACCATAATTACTGTAGTAACAATTTTCACATGTTTACTCTGCCATGCAGCTATGATTTCGCATTTGTTGACGCTGACAAGAAGATGTACAAGGAATACTTTGAATTGTTACTACAACTTGTAAGACCGAAATAATTTCTTTTAAGATTCAAACTCGTTGAATTTCTCTCCTTTTCTCCTTTATCATTTGGTTTCTTTGAGCAATGAGCAGTTTGCATGTTGGCTTGGTCTCTCGTTTCAGGTGAGTGTTGGGGGTCTAATTGTGTTTGATAATGTCCTCTGGCACGGAAAAGTTGCTGACCCTGAGGTGAATCGATAAACATGTTTTATTAACTCCTTCGCCTAAAATGAACTATGCTGAATGTTATCTTTTCCCAGCAGGTAAACGATGCCAAGACTGTCAGCATCAGAAATTTCAATACAAGTATAATGGAGGACAAGCGTGTAAGCATTTGTATGGTAAGTTCTATCACTTGCATCTTCATTCGTAAGAAAGTTCAGAGATCTTTTGTTTGTTGTTCGATAACCCTAAATCTTTCGGAGTGTCAGGTACCCATTGGAGATGGCATGACAATCTGCCGAAAAAGGTGACCTTGTAACAAAAAGTTGATGCAGTTCTAGACTTAAGCGACCAATGCCATACATAAATTAGTGTGTGCAGAAGTTTAGCAACAAGGAAAGCGCATGTTCAGTGTTTTCAAGAAAAGTACATCGAGGGAAGACGGCTACCATGGCATGTGGTATGGTGGTTGAAACTGAGGATGGAAGTTCTTACTTCAACATGTTAGGCCTTTAGCTCAAGGCCAAATATTCCGAAAGCAGGAAATTTCGGTGTTTGGGAGCGGCAGAAGAGAAGGGATTTCTAGCCATTTGATGCATTACAACATGCCATTGTATCTTGTTTGGTAAGGGGTGTTCATGAATCGTATTGGATAATGTATGCACATAATGAGAAGATAAAGTCATGTATTGTATACCAGTTTAAGAAAAGGCGGGATTGTTTCTAGATTTGGATTGGATAGGATATCTGATAAAATTTAAGGTATGTTGAAGGGGGGATTGTTTCTAGAATTAGATTGGATAGGATATCTGATAAAATTCAAGGTATGTTAAAGGCGGAATTGTTTCTAGAATTGGATTGCATTGGATATCTAATAAAATTTAAGGTATGTTGAAGGCGGAAATATCTGATAAAATTCAAGGTATGTTGAAGGCGGAATTGTTTCTAGAATTGGATTGCATTGGATATCTAATAAAATTTAAGGTATGTTGAAGGCGGAAATATGTGATAAAATTCAAGGTATGTTGAAGGGGGATTGTTTCTAGAATTGGATTGGATGGGATATATGATAAAATTCAAGATATGTTGAAGGCGGAATTGTTTCTAGAATTGGACTGCATTGGATATCTAATAAAATTTAAGGTATGTTGAAGGCGGAAATATCTGATAAAAATCAAGGATGTTGAAGGGGGGGGTGATTGTTTCTAGAATTGGATTGGATAGGATATCTGATAAAATTCAAGGTATGTTGAAGGCGGAATTGTTTCTAGAAATCTGATAAAATTCAAGGTATGTTGAAGGGGGGATTGTTTCCAGAATTGGATTGGATATGATATCTGATAAAATTCAAGGTATGTTGAAGGCGGAATTGTTTCTAGAATTGGATTGCATTGGATATCTAATAAAATTTAAGGTATGTTGAAGGCGGAAATATTTGATAAAATTCAAGGTATGTTGAAGGGGGGATTGTTTCCAGAATTGGATTGGATATTTAATAAAATTTAAGGTATGTTGAAGGCGGAATTGTGTCTCGAATTAAATTGAATTAGAATATTTGATAAAATTCAAGGTGTGTTCAAGGGATCAGAGTTTAATTCCTTTATAATCCTACCGCATTTTGTGGGGTTTGAGAAATAAGTTTTCTTTGCGAGTTGTTCACTTTTAAGCTTGCCAAAATTTCTTCATGTCTTCCTACCATGTACATACATTAAATATAGCAAGTTATCCAATTTAATCTTGAATACCAAATAAGCATTTAATTTGTGTTCTATGTATTAGATTACAATTTTAATGTAAACGTCACTACCACAAACAAATACAGAGATGTGTGCCAATTAGGTATGTTGCTCTAATAACCAATAAATTTAATTTGCATACACAAACGAAAAGTGTAAACTCCTGAACAACTACTACATGCACGAAACTACAAAACATATGATAAGTCGTTGATTTATGATCATTATTGGGACACACGTTAAGAATCAATTAAAATAACGGATTCTAATGACACATGGTAAGTCACTAAAACAAACAAATATAGAGATGCTTGTCAATCAGGTATATTGCACTAGTGACCAAGAAATTGAATTTGCATACACACAACGACAAGTGTAAACCCCTAAACAACAATTACATGCATGGAACTACAAATGCATGATAAGTCGCTAACTTAAGATCGTTATCAGATCACCGATTACGAATTCGTTTAAATAACGGATTTAACACCACATAGTTTAATCAAGTTAACGAGTATGAGATGAAAACTGTGTTGACCCAACAAACACGACCAGTTGACGAGTGTACTGCGAATTCGATTCGACCCACTGTCGTACAAAATAACAAACGTACACATCCATTGCAAAAAGCAAAGAAGATCTTGTTTGGTACTCATTCCTCTAATGAAAGGTTAGAAGCCAAAAATAATCGAGAAAAATATAGAGGTGATACGTGAATTTTTAAGTGAAAAAGACAAAATTATCCTCGAAGCATACTGAAACTCTTACAAGCAAGTAGCGGACAATCACGATTCAATCAAGGTTAAAAGTGATCAAAATATGTATTTATTCAAAACTTATTTCATCAATCCTTATCGAATCCTCCTCACAAGGTAACCTTCAATTATTTATTCAAAATATGATTAATTACCTAAATTAATTGATTAATTTTCAAATTAATTAATTAATTAATTTTCTAATTGATTGCAAGATATTATGTCAAAATAATATCATGCGATTACATCCAAAAACCAACATAAATGGCCAGATCCCTTTTATCCAAATAGGGACCAACCATACTCCTATAAATAATTCCCATTTATCCCAATCCTCCTTCCAAAAATTATCTAAATACTTACTCTTTCAAATTTTGGCATCAAAGGTCGGCCAAAGCACGCAAGCAAGGCTCTTGCCTCGACTTTAGATATTAATTGTTTTGCAGTACATTTTCGTTCAAGAAGAACACGGCGGATTTCCATCCGTACTCAGCAAACATTCATTCGGATTGCAAATATTTCCAACTCACTGAACTCTCTCAGCTGTAGTTAATCACCCTTCAGATCTCCAATTCGCTAAAGCACTTTTGCAAAACGTAATTACAAGACAGTTTTTTTTGCTATTCGCAAACGCTATTTTCACCGCGAAGTAGGAGTACTCCGTCTGCAATCTCTTGGGTCGTCATCAATGGCGGATCGGCTGCGTAGTTTCTTTAAGGGTGAGGTCCTCACTTACGCCTATCTTCTTCTCTACATCGCGCTCTCCAGCGGCCAGATCTTCTTCAACAAGGTTGGTACGCACATTGCTTTCATCTGTTAGCATTCGTCCAACATTTGGTCTTTTCGTTTGTTTGGTAAGTGGGAAATTTTTGGGGTGAATTTTCTGGGATGTGAAAATTGGAGAAAACCCAATTCGAGTTTGACCAGTTACAAGCGTATGGTGTGGTTTGAGATTGGTTTTTGGTGTTTTGGAAACCCATTCAGTGTGATTAGTAGTAGCATTGTGAGTGTGAATGAAAGATAAATTGCATGATTCTATTGATTTGGAAATTAAATTAGGTTACTTTTTGTTGAGAGTGTATGGATTTGGTACTGATGGATGATTTTGTTGGCTGTGCCTTTCTATTGAAAGATATGAAGGGAAACGAAAAGAAGCAGCTTTTCAAAGAAGCATTCTAATAAACTAGCTCGTACTCCCTAATTGCTTTTCCAGTAGCAGTTGTTGTGGGCTTTTGTTCTCTAAAGCATTGCTGTGCATTAACAAATGGAGATAGAGAGACACAAAAAGGTTGAGGAGGTGCTTTAAAATTTGCAATTGGCAAGAATTTACACAAAAAGTTCACATCTTGTTTCATGACCCTGCTTAATGTTTTGAAAGTATGGATATGGCGAAGACATGCATCTTAGGACCTTAGACTTAGCATGAATTGTATTGAGATCTAGAGAGAGATACATACATAGTTTACAAATACCCTGTGTTCGGGTATTTGATATGGTATTAGTTTCTCAAGAAAATCAATGGTTTTTACTTGCTTTCCCTCATCCTCTTTGAATCTGATTGAGGGCTGTAGATGATTGTTAAATTAAAGCAAGGGAAGTCAATTACAGCTTTGGAGGTCTCATTCTGGTAATGTCGATAAGATAGTGTTTATTTTTTTAGGGAGGGGGCGGCTGGGCAGCTATACCTAACTCTACAGGAATTTGTTAGCAAATACTTTGTATTGAAACAAAAGAATGATAGAAAATTTTGATATGGGTCTACAGTGAAGAAATATAGCATCCTCTACATGTTGTGTTAATGCTTACCATGTGAGCATTTGTTTAATTTGATAACTCCTTGTTACTTAATGTTGATTTTCGGGTCTCTACTTTGAAATTTTACTCTCATTCTTATGAAATAAGTAATTGAATTGTTATGTTTTAGCGGAGATACATTCTTGTGAGAGGCTTAGATGATTTACATAATCTTTAAATTGTGGAATGCAGTGGGTTTTGTCGTCCAAGGAAATAAACTTCCCTTATCCTCTTGGATTGACTCTACTTCACATGGTCTTCTCCTCTGTCTTGTGCTTTTTACTCACGAAAGTTTTTAAGGTATACAGGTAACTAAATGTTGTGATAATCATTAAAACTGAATTTTCCATTGGTTCTCTTAAACTTATTTTTTTATTCTATTATTTTACAGATTTTGAAGGTTGAGGAAGGAATGACTGTAGAAATGTAAGTAAGGAGCCTGAAAGATGGTATCTGTCGAATTTTACTCATTTTTGTGGAATTAAAGATGAATTTATGAATCTCCTTTGTGGCGATCAAATAATTAGGGATTTATGTTCGGATCATAGCTTGATGGTGCCAATGAGCTATTTTCATTGTTCAGAAGCATAAAGATAGTGCTAGTGACTCAAGCTCAATGATATTTGTTTTGGCTCTTAATTAAACTGACTCCAGCTATCTTATGAAGATTAAATATACTAGGAAAGTAAAACACACTAAGCTGTTGGTGTTTTAAAACCAACAAGTTGGATTGCAATATTGGCTAGCTAGTTGCTACCCATATGCATTTCCCTCCACGGTTGAAGCATGTGGAGTTGTTGATCCTATTGCTGACTTTAATTACTTGAACTTTTTTCCTAAAAAATGAAAGAAAAGTACTTGAACAATTTTCTTGCTGGTACTTAACACTAAGATCATTTATCCTCTGACTAAAGTAACTGTGTCAATCGTTTATGTCATCTCATGTTTGTCTACTTTTTTACTGATTTTCCACTCAGAATCTAATGAAGTTTTAGTTATACAGATACGTGACATCGGTAATACCAATAAGTGCAATGTTTGCAATGACTCTTTGGCTGGGAAATACTGCCTACATGTATATTTCTGTTGCATTTGCACAAATGTTGAAAGCAATCAGTAAGTTTTCACTACTTTTTAGTTTTTTGATCCACTGTAAAGCCTCTGGGCATACGGAGCAATGTCTTCTGTGTTATTTGATGGTTGGCCCTTTGGCTGTATGTTTGTTCAGCTGTCAGAAAGTAGGTTGGTCAGCAGGTCTGGCGATTGTATAACCATCCATCATGATTAGGAATGTTCTATCCGAGTCTCTGATTTCTTAAACAATATATGCATGCAGTGCCGGTAGCTGTTTTCATTCTTGGAGTAGCAGCAGGACTTGAGGTAATGAGCGGCAGAATGCTGTTGATCATGTCAGTGATAAGCTTTGGTGTTCTTGTGGCTTCTTACGGTGAAATAAATATCAGCTGGATTGGAGTAGTTTATCAGATGGGAGGAGTTGTTGGGGAAGCTTTAAGACTTATTTTTATGGAGATTTTTGTTAAAAGGAAGGGTCTCAAATTAAACCCAATATCTCTCATGTACTATGTTAGCCCGTGCAGGTACGCATTTCTACTTTTAAAATTCCTCAAGCTTTGCCTTTCTACTTATAAAATTTTGTACACCTGTGTGATTTGAGTATTGAATTTATATGCAGTGCTGTTTGCCTATTCATTCCATGGATCTTTTTGGAGAAATCAAAGATGGAAGAAAATAGCTCATGGAACTTTCCCCTGCTTGTGCTAACACTCAACTCTCTGTGTACTTTTGCCCTCAACTTATCAGTTTTCCTTGTGATCACTCATACAAGTGCCTTGACCATTCGCGTTGCGGGAGTTGTCAAGGATTGGGTGGTTGTCTTATTGTCTGCCATTATTTTTGCTGATACAAAGCTCACTCCTATAAATCTGGTCGGTTATGCCATTGGTAAGTATCTGACCTTGTCTCTTTCAAAGACCTCTTGTTTATTTTCTAAAATCATTATTTGTCACAGTGATGGTTTTTGAGTTCTACATATTTCTGATTTTAATATTTACCGCCAGGTTATATGTAGTTTGTGATGTTATGGTAACCCAGAGGTCTTTGAGTTGATACTAGATTCCGATTGGTAGTGTACAATTCTGAGTTTAGTTTTGTGGGTGTTCATTGATATCTGATTGGGGTTGTTTTAGACAACACAGTGTTGTATCTTTTCCTCTTTTGAAGGGTAACGCGGAAATACCATGATATTTTTTAAGAGTAATGTCGAGATGTTTAAATGCATAGTTTTGACTGACAAACAACATAACGTATTAAATATTATCTACAAACCAATACACATGATAATGATACATTAGTTTTTATGCAGCCATAGCCGGTGTAGCGGCATATAATAATCACAAGTTAAGAAAGGAAGTCTCTAAAAGCAACACTGACGAACCTGAAAGTTCTCAACCTATACTAACGGCTGCACCATCAAATTCGGACAAGTAGAGATGTCACAGAAGCATTCAGACTAGTTATTTTTGAGGTATGTACATTTAGCAAAATGTTTCTTCCAGAATCCATTAATTATCTTCTTGGGTTTTCCAACTGCCCCAGAAATTGATGAATTGTGTGGTACTGCAGTGGCCGTTGCAATTTACATATAGCTGGATGGAACTCTATGCATTGTTTGAGATTACGGTTTGTAGAAGCCTCGGTGGTTAAGTGCTTCCCTGTTTGTTATCATCGTTGCAGTTGCTCCTGTGGCGGTGTAAATTTTGTGACGGTTTGAAGCAGAACTGCGATTCAAAGTATAAAGATGAGAAATTCACACAATTGTAACATCATCACAGTGCTAGGCATTTACTGTGGGCATTTCAAAAGTTGATGTACTTGTGCTAATCATAGATGATTTGTTTGCAAAGCAAGTGCCATTGTCACTGTCATAGAAACTCTTTGTTCATAAATTTCCCGATAATTCTTTATAGCTCACATTTGTATCACAGCACGGGCATATATGATGCTAACTCTCTGTACAAGGATTTATGCTTTGAACCTCGACTTTTTCCATGGTAAATTCCGTTCAGAGAAGTTCTGCGACGGAAGAATCTCTCCTGTAAATGGCAGCAACCAAATTGTTGCCCCTGTAGAACGAATCTCTTTGGGCGGAGAAAAAAAATTTGATTGATATCCAGATTAAACTCCTCCACTGATATTTTTACGTACCAAATTGTTATGGGCTTTGTTTTTTTTTTTTTTAACCTCTCAACACAAGTCGTGCACAATTGTGAAACGGTGCATGATCAAATTATTTATTGCTGGGTTTCTGAGACGTAACACACGCACCAAAAACACGGCACTAGGATGCTGGCACGTGATATAATAATTTCTCGTTTGCAACTTGCTAATATTGTCTCTAAATTGTGTACTCATGAAACGACGTTGTTGGAAGATTGGTCTTTAATTAGGAGATACATGACGTATGCAAATTAGACCAGTTGGCTAAGGTACTATGTCAGCATCCGATGCGATTCCTCTTCTTTAAATGCAAGTTTGAATCTCTTATTGTGTAAATCTGAGTAGTTTAGAATCGCTCAATAAAGCTGAAAAAAAAAAGATTATATTTGATGGGCTTAGTACGAATAAGAAGCCTAATTAACCAACCCAACAAGGCCCATAGCCCGCCTTTTACAACATCCGACTGTAAAGATCCGAAAGAGGAAAGACCAAATAATAAAGAGGGAAAAACAGGGTATTTTTGGGGTTTGGAAGGTAAAGGGCTTTTCCTGCTTCGTCTCCTTCTTCTTCTTCTTCACATCTCTCCCTCTCTCGCATGTCTCTGCCCGTTCCCGCCTTCGTCCCTCTCTCCCACTCTTTCCTTATTTAACCCTTTAAAAATTTAAAAAAAAATCAATATTATAATTCTGTATTTTTTTCCTCTCTTTATTTAATTAATTAATTAATTATTTATTTATATTTAATTCGAATTTTTCCGTGGGAAGAAATAGGCGGTATTGGAGGGGGGAAGAGATATGCGATTGGGGTGGTGGTGGTACAGCATCATCATCGGAAGGGCGGCGTCGTGCGATGGTCGTCGTCGACGTTGATGGGCCTGCAATTCCAATTGCAGATGAGTTGGCAGCCGAGTCTACTGAGTCAGAAGCGGAAGAATGGCCTGCCGCCTCTAGGGTTACGCAACCTCGGCAACTCTTGCTACCTCAACAGCGTCCTCCAGTGCCTCACCTACACCCCTCCTCTCGCCAATTTCTGCCTCCGCAAACTCCACACCTCTCTCTGTAAGTACAACTCCCCCTCTCTCTCTTTTCCTCTGTGATTTTGTTTGAATTTGAATTCGAATTCAACCGAAACGACGTTGAATTCAATCTGCAGGTGACTCTTCGGATGCGGAGCGGAAGCGCGACTGTCCCTTTTGCATTCTGGAGAAGCAGATAGTGCGGTCCCTGAGTCTGGATCTCAGTCTGGATGCGCCACAGAAGATACGGAGCTGTCTCGGGATTTTCGCCGAACACTTTCGGTGCGGTCGACAGGAGGACGCTCATGAGTTCCTGCGCTACGTCATTGATGCTTGCCACAACACCTGCCTTCGGCTCATGAAGCTGCGACGCAATGCCACCGCCAACGGCAATGGAAAAATGGCCAACGGCATAGGCAATGGGGAAACGGCGACTTCAACGGTGGTGAAGGAGATATTTGGTGGAGCATTGCAGAGCCAGGTGAAGTGCCTATGTTGTGGCACAGAATCCAATAAGGTTGATGAGATAATGGATATTAGTCTTGATGTTTTGCATTGTAATTCGCTTAAAGACGCATTGCAAAGGTTCTTTCAGCCTGAGATTTTGGATGGCCAGAACAAGTACAAATGCGAAAGGTATCATCTCTCTCTCTCTCTCTCTCACTGCTTTTTCATGTTTTGGGTACTTGTCCTTTTGTTTTGGGTTTTGATTGAGGTATTTATGCTGTCTTAGTTGTAAGAAATTGGTGGCAGCACGGAAGCAAATGTCTTTTCTTCAAGCTCCCAATGTTCTTGTTATTCAACTTAAGGTTAGTTTATCGGTTGCGTTCTGATATATTTTTGCTATTAGGTGCTTAAGTTGCTCCATCCTGCCATTTTTACTTTCGTTCATTTAGTTTTCTTGACAATGTTTTATCGTTATTTGTTGATAGAGATTTGAGGGTGTACTGGGCTGGAAGATTGATAAATCTATTTCATTTGAGGAGTTTTTGGGGCTTTCAGGCTTCGTGTACAAAACAAGTAAGGTACGGTCAAGACTTTAACTTGTCAGTTTAATGAAGTCAATGCATTGGATGGTGTATGGTTGTTTAATTGGAAAGCGAGCGTAGTTAGATTAGATACTGCATTAACAATGAACTTATCGAGCATAGCAACAATTACCTATTTTTTAGGACATAGAATCCAAAACTTTGCAGCCTCTATGTTCAGTTGAACCCTTGACCAAATAACTGTCGAGCTTTTTAGATCTTTGCAAATCATATTATATATAGTATACCTAAATATAATATGGATGTGTGGTGTGCAGTATTGATAGTAGTCAACCTGTACTGAACCTATGAAAAATACATATCTAGTTCCTTTCAGAGTGTCCCCACCTAATATTGTTTTTTGCCAAATGAGTTTCTCCACCTAATTGAATTCACATAGGTTTATAGGATTGGTACAGTAATTTGTTCCAACTAGTAGTTACTTGTGCTTTCTTAATTATTTTTTCTGGGTTGAATAGATTCTTGTGCTTTATAAGTTTTGTTTGAATACAGTTGGCACTAGAAGCTTGTTGAAATCTACGTGATTCAGTTTGGCATGTTATGATTCGGTGTCATATCAGCACCTTTCTTACTTAGAGGAAAACAAAAAGGTTAGGTGAGCAGCCCTAAAGTTCTCAAAGAACCTAAGAACCAAAAGCGAATGCCATTGCAATCAATATTCAAGAGTTTCTTGTTGAGAGAAAGCTTATTTTCGGCAACACCCCCTGAAACTCCAACTTGTACTCACTTAACCCCCTCAAACTTGATATGTCTCACTTAACCTCCCCCTTGAAACTCAATTTTTGTCTCAGTTCCCCTACTGTCAAAGTCCGTTAAAACTGATTACATGGCATATAAAAAATTAATAAAATATCAGATTTAAAAAAAATGTTGAAAATTTGACAGAAAACGAAAAACAAAACTCTCTTCCCCTCTCCCCGTGCATTCCCCTTTCCCCTGATAATGACGAATTAAAGGTTGAACAGATCGTTTATTTGAGAACCAATCAAGCTTCAAACATCCATTGATGCAGTCATTGTCCTTGACTACCTTGATAGAGTTTACAGGAGATAGGGGGAGGGACGCAGGGGTTGTTGGGAGAGTCTGGAAGGGGAGGCTGACGTTGTTGGGTGAGGAGTGAGCTGTGGCCATGGGAGAGAAAGAGAGGCTAACTGTAATTTTTCCGTTTAAATTAATTATTTTCGTGTAGTTAATTTGTAACATTTGTTTTTAATATTTTTTTTGCCATGTAGGGTCCACATGGCATAATTGTAGCATAGTAGGTCTGATTCATGTCACATCACCTATTTTGATGGATTTGTTAACAAATTTTGACGGTAGGGGTTAAGGTGAGACAAAAATTGAGTTTCAGAGGGTTAAGTGAGGCAAATTAAGTTCCAGGGGTTAACGTAAGAATAGGTTTGAGTTTCAGGGGGTGTTGCCGTAAATAAGCCTTATGAAAATACTTGAGACGGCGAAAAACTTCGGATATTCTTAAGAAGACTTAAGCCAACTGGCGGGTAATCAAGATGTTTGTTTTTGTTTTTTTAAATTAAATTTCTAAGCCAACCAGTACAAAATGAGTGTAAATTAAAAAAGAACACAAATAATTGGTTAAAATATTTGCTATAATAGCATGTTCAATGTTTTCTTATTGTATTGTTTAAGTGATCGCAACACAGTCTGGATGGTACTGCAGTTTATTAAGTATGTTTCTTTTTCAATCTGTGCATAGAGCGTCAGTGTGGGAGTTTACGTGGTTGGAGAAGGAAACTCCAATTGTTATCTTGGTTGATTAAATGTAGGGCTATGCTTAAACAAAGAAAAATGTAGAGCTAGAAATGGGAAATGGGAACTGGATAGGACTGTAGAAGGGGTTTAGAAATTTAGACCAGAGATATCCATCTATTATCCACATGGTAGGACTAAGGCCTTGTTGAGAGGAGGTCTATATCCAACTCATCACCTGTTCTATTGAGATGTTATATATTCCCTTTCAGCACCATGAACGACTTATCTAGCAACCTCTTGCAGTCTAAAGAGGAAATAGACGTAATTAACAATGCACGAAGGTGTGATTGCTTGGAGAACCTCTTGTTTATAGTCCCATTTTTCATGATCGGTCTATGACTTGGGTTTTATCGTTTTTTCCAGCTAGTCAAAAGACTTTTCTGCCTTCACGGGGAAGTATAAAGGAAAACGAAAATCCATTTGACTGCAACTTATATATGAGAAGTACAATGCAGGGTTTATTTCTAGTGACAATTAGGAGATCCTCGAGAAGTTGTGTTAAGTTCGACTTATTCAGTTTTGTGTGCTTTATTGTAGTTTAACATGGCTGTAACAGTTACGTCACTGAATAGTAAGTTTTGTTTGTTGCATTCTTGTTTGAATAGGTCATTCCGATTTACATTCTGTTTGGGAAGCTATAATGTACATGCGTCATGGTCTCTGTATTTTTTTTTCTGGCATATCAACTAAATACACGTTGGATTGTTGGCGATTCCTTAGCAAATGTTATTTCTGATTCCTTGTTGCATATCTCCTTTCTTGTATTTCAAAATGAGGCAGTCCAGGTCTTGGTTATTTAAAAGAATGGTTTTGATGTCAAGATTCTATTCTATCCTTGTAAATATTTCTTGATGCTAATGCATGCTTTTTATCTGACTCCCGTATCATGAGACTGTTGTTTGTTTCTAATTATTCTTTAT